TAAAAATTATAACCACAGGAAAACCACTGCTAAATGAATATATTCAATATTTCACAAATTTCATTAGAAAAACCCCATAGTGATTTTTGCTGAACACCCATATCGAATAATTTTAACCTCCTTGGCCATCTTAAAATATAAAGATAATGCTTTTCTTTTTATGGACACAAAAAAAATTACTTCAAAGTCATGATTCTTGCTTTATCTCACACAGTAAGGCTATAGGTTTCATGATTGATTAAAAATAAACCTCAGGCCTGGCCGGTGTGGTTCAGTGGTTGAGCATCAACCCATGAACCAGGGAGGTCACGGTTTAATTCTCCATTAGGGCACATGCCTGGGTTGGGGGGGGGGGGCATTTAGGGGGCAGCCGATCAAAAATTCTCTCTCATCCTTGATATTCCTATCTCTCTCTTCCTCTCCCTTCCTCTCTCTGAAATCAATAAAAACGTATTTTTTTAAAATAATAATAATAAAATAAAACTCAGAAATGTGTTTTTTTAAATATCTATGGAAAATTGAAAAGATATTTAAGTATTTTAATGCTCAAGGCCATTCTAGTTCATCAAGACCAGGGGTCCTCAAACTACGGCCCGGGGGCCACATGCAAATACAAATATTGTATTTGTTCCCGTTTTGTTTTTTTACTTCAAAATAAGATATGTGCAGTGTGCATAGGAATTTGTTCATAGTTTTTTGTTAAACTATAGTCCGGCCCTCCAACAGTCTGAGGGACAGTGAACTGGCCCCCTGTTTAAAGTTTGAGGACCCCTGATCAAGACCATCAAATAGAAGGGGCCATAATTTAAATAGTCCCAAAGGTAACTATAAATGTGATCTGGTGCCCTAGCCAGTTTGGCTCAGTGAATAAAGCATCAGCCTGCTGACTGAAGGGTCCCGGGTTCGATTCCAGTCAGGGGCATATGCCTGGGTTGCGGGCTTGATTCCCAGTAGGAGGCGTGCAAGAGGCAGCCAACCAATGATTCTCTCTCATCATTGATATTTCTATCTCTCTCTCCCTTTCCCTTCCTCTCTGAAATCAATAAAAATATATATTTAAAAATAAAATAAATTAATGGGATCTGGTACCAAAAGATGATAAAAGTAAAGAATATGCATTACAGTTTTTAAAGTCTAGGTGCATACACAGGACATGCATGAATGTATACTGTCTTTATATATCCCCCTTTCTATTTCATTCTCAAGAGATATATCATCTCCACAACCAGGTCCATGAGCCCATTTACAATTACTTGTAACTTTTCTGAGCATAAGAAAACTATGAAGACTTTCCTAGGAAATTTCTGAGGTAAAAAGTTTTTAACTATTATTACAGTTCCTTTTCTTGATTTTACACTTATCTATACTTTCTTACATATTCGTCACCATGAATCTAGAGCCAAAAATGTTAATAAAACAGCTACAATGTGTATGGGGCTTCAAAGCCAAGTGATGCTTAGGACAACGCTTCATACCTAATCATCTTCACAAAACTGTTCAGACTTTAATAAGGCAAACCCTGCTCCCAAGTACCCTAATTCTAGCAGCGCACCAAACTGTCTAAACTAAGACAGCATCGCTTCTAAAAGGCATGAGCCTGGAAATCGTTGTGAACGTGGAAGACACTTATCTGGGTTTTAAAAGTAAACAAGGCCTCTGCAGGAAAGGTGGTGAAAGGTGTCCAGATGTGGGGATGAGATGGGCAGAGGTAGAACACTGAAATGTGCACTGTGTGTTTGGAGAATGGCCCCAAATCTGAAGTATTTGAAGCAAAGAGACAATCACTTGTTGAGTAGTGGAAGCTGAGACTAGAAAAGTTAAGTACGTGCCAGATGATAGAAGGTTTTCAAAATACCCAGCCTAGGTGTTTGACAGCAACAATGAGTCCCAGAAGATAACAGAAGAGTAAAGAGACAAGCATAGCAACGCTTTGGGAAAATTAACCCCATGGTCATGGGCAAGATGGTTTGGATGAGGGGTGGGAAGGGAACACCAGTGTTACAATCCAGACTGAGGGTGAAGGGAGTAGGCCTTAGTGTGGTGGGAGACATGATAATGGGATCTAACAACTCTTATGGTGAAGGGGATAGGAGGATTCCAAAATAACACAGAAATGTGAACTTGAATGAACAGGAGAACAGAATCTGAATGGTTTGTGGCGTCTGATTGTTCACATACTAGAGGAAAGTACATGGGCTAACATGAGCTGCTTTTAAGTCTCAAGGGCAAACTTACAGCCATAAAAATGATACTCACATGTCAATTCATCAGGAAACATGGCTTTCACTCAGGGCCAAAACCTGCACTCAGTTACCTACACACTGTTCTACTGACTCCACAAGAAATTACATGCCTAGAACTAATGGTAGATTAGTTGATACATCTGATAAGGGGTTACTATCCAAAATTTATACATACCTCATAAAACTCAACACCCACCCCCAAAAAACCAATCCAATTGAAAAATTGGCAAAGGACCTAAATAGTCACTTCTCCAAAGAGGACATACAGAAGGCCAATAGACATATGAAAAAAATACTCAACGTCACTAATCATCAGAGAGATTCAAATTAAAACCACGATGAGAGCACCTCACACCTCTCAGAATGGCTATGTCAATAAATCAACAAACAACAAGTGTTCTGGAGAAAAGAGAATCCTCCTGCACTGAAGGTGGGAATGCAAATTGGTGCAGCCACAGTGGAAAGCAAAATGGAGTTACCTCAAAAAATTAAAAATTGAACTGCCTTATGATCCAGTGATTCCACTTCTGGAAATATATCTGAAGAAACCCAAAACACTAATTCAAACATATGCATCCCTATGTTCATTGCAACATTATTTACAATAGCCAAGATTTGGAAGCAGACCAAGCATCCATCTGTAGATGAGTGGATAAAAAAGCTATGATACATTTACACAATGGAATATTACTTAGCCGTAGAAAAGAAGGAAATCTTACTCTTCTCCACAGCATGGATGGACCTGGAGAATATTATGCTAAGTAAAATAAGCCAGTCAGAGAAAGAGAAACACCATATGATTTCACTCACATGTGGACTCAAATGAACAAAATAAACAAACAAATAAAACAGAAACAGACTCATAAGTACAGAACAGACTGACAGCTGTCAGAGGGGAGAGGGGTTACAGGGCTAGGTGAAAAAGGTGAAGGGATTAAGAAAAAAATATCTCATAGACACAAACAACTGTATGGTGATTACCAGAGGGAAAAGGGGGTCGGGGGTGCAAGGAGAGGATATAGGAGGAATAAATGGTGATGGAAGGAGACTTGACTTGGGATGGTGAACACACAATACAATATACAGAGGATGTATTATAGAAACATGCACCTGAAACATATATAATTTTATTGACCAATGCCACCCCAAGAAGTCAATACATTTTTTAATAAAATAAAATGACATCGTAGGGACTGACTTGCAACTTCCGCAATCTTAAACTGCGTTGCCTCAGATAATATTTTTAAGACATGGATTTTGGCCTTAGATGTAGATTTGTAAGCCAACAATGTGACCCTTCCTGAGATAAAAACAAGAAAAATGTAGAGCATTTCGTTCTGACTTTTCAAAACTCAAGAAGATACTTCATCTCCACTGAGGCACCAGGAGTGTCATTCTCTGATACCCAAGGTACCGAGTGCATCGTACACTATTACTAATATTTAGCTTATTCACTTTTTAAAGTAGTCATTTAATCGGAATTATGAAACATAATACATACCATGTACTAAATGTATGTACTATTTCATTTTCCTGAACATACAATATGTAAGCTTTAATTAGTTTTTCTTAAAATAGGAACCACTACTGAAAAGTTTGATACCTTCTTATTTGTCAACAATGTGTTCAAAACTGATCCTGCGTAAATTCTTTCTTTAAATTGACAAAATAGACTCAAATAATTCCTTGTAAAATATTCATCTGCATCTTCTTTGATATTATCCTTAGGTTAGAATATTCATTCAAATTATGTTCCTTTAAAGGAACAAACTTATTATACAAATCCAACCGATGACAGATAACAGGTGTCAACTGTAACCACATCACCAATGTACAGACATAATTTTTGTTAGATTCAATATGAAATTGACAACTCTAATCAATTCTGAGAAAAATGCATGGCAATTCATGGAAGCGGAGAGAATATACTAGCAGATGAAAGAAGGACTTCCTTCACTGTTTGATAAATACACTACACACACACTCGTACAACTCAAGAAAGGATTTTTTTATTTTTTCTAATAGATTCAGCTTCAGTTTTAAAAATCAAAATCTGTTTTATCTATGTACAAGCAATTCCTCAATTTGTTTTTTCTTTAAAAAAAAAACCACGCAAATAATATTCTCCTGAGTAGTTTGTATTCTGTAACTGCAAAAGCAGTGATTTAATATCCAGGCATGTTTTGTGCCTAGTCAGAAGCACTTGGGGTGGCTGTAATGTAACGAGGTCAGAGCCAGCACAAGGTGTACCGGTGTAATCAGAGAATCAGGCGAAGGGAAAAGCAGATAGCAGCAAGTCAAAAGTACAGCCAGACAAACACCCTGTAGGACTTCCCTCCCATTTACCACACAAGCTGTTCGGTTCGTTTCAATAAATGAAGCTAGTTATTTTGCTTCTAGGGAAAATACCCCTTCCATTGGTTAGCCATCCTAACTGTGAAAGGAGCTGTGAAATCGTCCCTTGTCTTATTTCTGTTACCTGCCAAAGAATGATAACTTGGCAGAAACATTTTGATGACCATTAAAACATCATAATCTTCGTGTTTAAAAAGGAATCGGTACAATTCTGAGAAAGACACGGTTTCTAGTTCTTTAAAAATAATTCCCAGTGATTATCATAATGCCCAAATGTGCTATCACATAGTGGAACAGTAAGAATCAAAGAAAACAGGCAACACAGAATCACGGAGAACTCTCTTCCTCTTGGAGCAGAAATTTCTTTCAAGAATGAAAAGTCACTATTTATTTTGCTCTTACCTGATGGCAGCTCGCTTAGCCAAGGGGATGTCCTTTAGAGAGGTAGCTTATCCTTTGAAGAACCCAGTGGCTTGTCCCACAGCCCAAGAGAGAGACTGGAGCCCTGGAAAACTATCCAGCCCAAAAGAATACAGAGGGAAAAGCTTTTCCCACTTGCTCTCCCGGGACTAGCCAATAGCTGAAGTCATGCAGGAAACTGAGTGGAGAGAAGGGGAGAGCAGCTTCTTCGCCCTGAAATCCCCGGTCCGCAGACACTGGAGGCTGTTGTAGATCTCCCACCGAGACTTTTGTTTAAAAGTTTTTTCAACTGTTGCTAGGTGTTGTTGGGTTCCGAGATTAGGTTTCTCGTCTCCTGCTCCCTGCACAACACCGGCAGGGCAGGGACTTTGTTGAGGCGCTGGCTTGCGCGTGCTATATTTAACCAGTGTTCTCAGCAAGTCAAGCCTGTCAACAGCTGAGAAGTTTGGAGCCGGCTCTGCTCAGTTCCTCGGCAGCTGGGTTATCAGTGGATATAGCTCTGCTCGCCCCGTGAAAGATTGCGGGAAACCGGCCGTCCCTTTTAAGGGCTGCTGCTCCTTACCCAGAGGGAATTACTAGTGGAAGCTCTTAAAGACAGACTGGGAGTCGGGACTTAGGTTTTCCAAGCGGAAAAGAATCAAACAGCCACAGTTGTCTTAAGCAGAGCATTTTACCAATACCATATTCCTCTCCATTAGGCTTTCTGAGATATTTGTTCCTACATTTTTTTTTAAAAAAAAAGCTCTTATGTAAAAGTGTATCACAACTGTTGGAAACATTCACAGTAAGAGATTATTTCCAGACCGTTGTTTATATTGACGTGTTATATTCATAGCTAGGTGACTGACTTACCCAGGCATATCAGACTTGACCGGCTTATATGCCTGAATGTTATAAAAGCCAGGTTACCATAAAGGAATGCCTGTAACATTGTTTTTGGAAAGGCGTAAAGTGTAGTGAATGACGCTCACTCAGGTCATTCATTCAAAGTAAGACCTGGAGAACACCCCCCCGAAAACGGGGCTTGACAGCTTTGCCTCCTTATTAACCCTCCAGACTCCAAAACCAGGGAAGGGTCGCTGCTACCCTGAACAACATGGAGAATGTCTCAAGATATTGTATTTGCTTTATGCTATATAATAAAATAGTGTGAATCTGCCAAGATTAAGACACAGGGGGAAAATGTGTTTTAACTAGTACTTGGAACTGTCTTACTAATCCTATATAATTAAAGCCTAATATTGTCCCCTCGAGCAGTCGTTCAACTGGGAGTTCAACTGGGAGACCGGGAGTTCGACTGCTCACTATGATGTGTGCTGAACACCAGGGGGTGATGCGGACCATGGCGGGCATCGGCGACACGGCACTGGCAGCAGGTGGCAGTGGAGGCACTGTCTTGGAACTGTCTTACTAATCCTATGTAATTAAAGCCTAATATTGTCCCCTCGGGCAGTCGTTCAACTGGGAGTTCGACTGGGAGACCAGGAGTTCGACTGCTCACTATGATGTGTGCTGACCACCAGGGGGTGATGCGGACCATGGCGGGCATCGGCGACACGGCACTGGCAGCAGGTGGCAGTGGAGGCACTGCCGGGTTCCAATGGGCCTCAACGAGAGCGGGACCACGGCTGATGGTAGAGCAGGTGAGCGGGCGGCACCAGGCCAAGGCGGGTGCAAGCAGGGTCCCGATCACCCGGCCAATCACCCCGCAGACGGTGACCAGCAGCGGCGTCAGGGGGTGGGGCCGCTGCCTGGCTCCCAGGTGCTGAGGGAGCTAAGAGCAAGGCAGGGGCCAGGAGAGGCTGCAGGTCTGTGAGGCTTGAGGCGCGAGCTGGGACTGCGAGGCTGGGGGCAAGAGCTGGGGCCCGATCTCCACAGGCCACCCTGAGGGACACCACCGGTGCATGAATTCGTGCACCAAGCCTCTAGTCCTATATAATAATAAAGGCTAATATGCAAATAGACCAAACAGTAGAACAACTGGAAAAACTGAACAACCAAACAACCAGTCACTATGACGTGCGCTGACCACCAGGGGGCGTGTGTGGAACATGGTGGGCTTTGGCCACAATGGGATGGTGGAGCAAGTAAGCAGGGGCACCAGACCAAGGGGGGGCACTGGTCGTTGTCATTGGGGCAAGCCTCTAGTGGTTACTGAAAATACTTTGCTCCCCAGTGCCACAGTCCCGCCCAGCACTCGCACCTGCTGCCAGCACCAGCCCCGCTTGCATCTGCTGCCGGTGCCCAGCGCCAGGCCTGATCACTCAGTACCATCAGCGGGTGCGAGTGACGGCTGCCAGTCCTGATCACCCCTGAGGGCTTCTCCACCTTCCCCTGCTCCTGAGAGGTGATCAGGGCAGCAGCCGCCACTCGCACCCGCTGCTGGCGCTGGTCCAAATCACTCCACTCCATCAGCGGGTGTGAGCAGGGCCAGCGCTGTCAGCACATGGGAGTGGCGGCGGCAGGATCAGGGCTGCCGGCAGACCGGGGACTGAGGGCCATGGCAGGAGGGGCTGGGCAGGGGCTCGGAGGATGGGCTGAGACCCACCCCTGTGTCTACCGCAGCCTCACAGCCCACAGTTCCTTTCAAAGTGCACAAATTCGTGCACTGGGCCTCTAGTTACTTATACGAAATTCACAGATGAGGAACTGAGAGATCCTTTTAGCCACAGATAAAGTAGGAAGTGAGATACACACAAACACACACACAAACACCAATATTGGTAAACACACTAGACTATTGCCCTACAAAAATCTCACCAACACCATTATAAAGGTGACCCCTCCCCTTCCTGAGATCAATTTATCAGTTTAAAGATAACATCCTTTTTCAAGATGCAAACTGAAGTTGGATCAAGGAGACATTTCAAGGCATGAATTTAATAATATCTTGCCCAGCCAACGTGGCTCAGGAGGTCATAGTTTGATTCCTAGGCAGGGCACATGCCCAGGGTGCGGGCTTGATCCCCAGTGGGGCAGCTGATTGATGATTCTCTCTCATCATTGATGTTTCTATCTTAATCTCCCTCTCGCTTCCTCTCTAAAATCAATAAAAAATATTTTTAATAATAATAATAATATCTTAACTGTTGCATACTTGCAATAAATGGCCTATGTGCAAGATAACCCTGATGTCTCTCTGGGAAGGCTACCACTTTTCACAAGGAGTATGTGTGTGTGTCCTTTTTAAAGAAATGAGCCTCACCTTCCAGGATAGCTGACCCCCAACAGCTCAATCCACTTCTTCCCATCCCAGCCACCACACTAACAGCATTCATTTTTTCCTCTTAATTTATTTACTACTATTCACATATAAAATTGCATTTGTTCAGATTCTTAGTCTTTCTGGGTCTGGGCCAACCTTCATTTAAAAAAAAAAAAAGACTTCTATTAAGATGAAAGCGTTCTTATGTGAAATTAACTGGCTCTTCTAGAACGCTAATGGATCTTTTAGAAACAATCTGTTCCCAGTTCCTCAAAAGTGGGTTCTGACAGGAAGTGGAAGTGTGACTGGGCTGAGAGATAGTTCAGAATCACCAGGAGAAACTTTTTTAAATTACAAAGGGGTAATGTCTGGGGAGATTATTGTTTGAAAAGTGCTCACACCCCACAGGCACATCCCATATGCAACAGCCCCAGGCTGAAATCCACTTCACTGAAAACGACTCCAGGAATGTATCATTTCACCTCAACATCATTGATGTTTCTATCTTAATCTCCCTCTCGCTTCCTCTCTAAAATCAATAAAAAATATTTTTAATAATAATAATAATATCTTAACTGTTGCATACTTGCAATAAATGGCCTATGTGCAAGATAACCCTGATGTCTCTCTGGGAAGGCTACCACTTTTCACAAGGAGTATGTGTGTGTGTCCTTTTTAAAGAAATGAGCCTCACCTTCCAGGATAGCTGACCCCCAACAGCTCAATCCACTTCTTCCCATCCCAGCCACCACACTAACAGCATTCATTTTTTCCTCTTAATTTATTTACTACTATTCACATATAAAATTGCATTTGTTCAGATTCTTAGTCTTTCTGGGTCTGGGCCAACCTTCATTTAAAAAAAAAAAAAGACTTCTATTAAGATGAAAGCGTTCTTATGTGAAATTAACTGGCTCTTCTAGAACGCTAATGGATCTTTTAGAAACAATCTGTTCCCAGTTCCTCAAAAGTGGGTTCTGACAGGAAGTGGAAGTGTGACTGGGCTGAGAGATAGTTCAGAATCACCAGGAGAAACTTTTTTAAATTACAAAGGGGTAATGTCTGGGGAGATTATTGTTTGAAAAGTGCTCACACCCCACAGGCACATCCCATATGCAACAGCCCCAGGCTGAAATCCACTTCACTGAAAACGACTCCAGGAATGTATCATTTCACCTCAACTCCGAGTTCACTTTATAGGTCTCCCATCCAAAATGAAGCAGAGTTATTTGTAGCCAAAGTCAAGATAAATGAGGGGAAGTAACCCACTTTTACCTCTATGGGCCTAAATAACTTCATCAAGAGGGTAATAGTTATTTCTTTCCTGACTATCCAGACAATTAGACTTTTCAGTGTGGTTTTTTTAATTCTCTCTCTAATAAAAACCTAGTCCCTGATCATTGTTTTCTTTAACCCTTAGATTTTCTGTTCATTGTTGATATTAGTTTGTTTTAAACAATGTAGTGGCAGCAGCTTACAAAGTACTTTGTATAATTAGATACTATTGCTACCTTCAGATTATGTTCTTTAATTATTCTAGGCATATGCATTTCTCTGACTCTATTTCATAATAATCTGACTCCTCTCAGTCTCTCCCCTTTCATCCTCCCTCCCCCCTCTACACACATTCTCTCTATATATAAAGTGAATCTATTTTGAAGGCTTTCCTTACAGGAATGATTATTCAGACAAAAGCATTTCCTACATAATCCACAGAGGAAGTAGTGCCATTAAGAACTTTTAGAAATTTGTGTTTTGTATACAGTCAACAAGGAACTGATTTTTCAACACATGTTGTTACTGTATTTACTGTTCAGCTGCATTCCTTTTCCCACAGTCTTAAGGGTGAACATTATGAAAACGTCTGATAAACTTTCAACTAAAGCCGAATTCCCCAATTTCAAGGATGGGTCATGATGATGCTTTTTCATAAGAAGATAGATTAATGTTATCATTATCAGTGAGAAAAAAATCAAGTGAATTAAATAGGAGAGTTGGCATATTATCTCTACATTCATTTCTAAAACCAAATTTTACCACACTGTTCATTTAAAGAGGCATGGTGATTTTTTAAGTGAAAAATTAATAGATTATTGAATACACCGGTGAAGAGAAAGATAGACATTGGCTTCAAAATGATGTTCAAGGAGGAGGGGTTAGAGAGGAGTTCCAAACAAACATGCCCTGTTATTGTTTATTGTCTGGCTTTAAGATTTAAATATAAGCTCCCATGTAGCAGGGAGTGTTTCCCATTTG